TTTCTGAAATTTTGAGATTTTTAGTTTTGAATATGTGCGAGAGATATTTAGTTCAATATATATTCGGTCCTACCGCAAACTCTTTTAAGGAGCTGCATCACGCATGAGAGAGAGAGAGAGAGAGAGAGAGAGAGAGAGAGAGAGAGAGAGAGAGAGAGAGAGAGAACGATTTAAGCCTGAGATTTTAGTATTGTCAGCCGCTGGGACCTGTCTAACATTTTAGAAACTTTCAAAATATTGAATCTGAATTTTCATTGAGTTTTAAACATTTTCTGCCTTCTTAATTTTGGATTGTGATATTTGAATTAAAAATTCAAGCAGATACAATTATATATTATATGTATATGTACTGTATTCAAACATTATCAACACTGTGTTTATAAGTGTTAGTGTATCTTGGTCTTGGAGCTCTAGTTGTAGCTCCAGCTGTAGCCTCGGCTGTAGCCTCGGCTGTAGCTCCAGCTGTAGCTCCAGCTGTAGCCTCGGCTGTAGCCTCGGCTGTAGCTCCAGCTGTAGCTCCAGCTGTAGCCTCGGCTGTAGCCTCAGCTGTAGCTCCAGCTGTAGCTACAGACGGTGTCTATAGCTACAATCATTGCTTCATCAATAAAGTCATCAGTCGCTTCAACAATAACAATATAACTACAGCTAAATAGAAATTTCCTTTACTATTAATTTATACTTGAATGTGTATATGAATGTGAGGTATGATTCCACCAGAGTTATTGTTGTTTAAGATTCGCTACCTGGAACACAGAGTTCCAAGTAGCACGGGGTATGGTGATCCCGCAGTTAAACCAGAGGCTGTGTGAGTCTTCCGTCTTGCTAAGTTTCCGTCGCGTTCAGTATCGTTCTCTCTTGTTTCATAGCGTTCTGTTTATTTCTCTGTCTAGTTGTCTCTTCTCTCGTTTTTATCTCGCTCTCTCGCCCTCAACCCGTTTTCTTTCGCTCGTTCCTACAACATTCCGTTTTCACTTCAACATCAAAGGCTGAAGATGATGAAAAAGAATTTCATTCTATCACTAAAATATTTAAAAAAAAAATGCAGTCTCTTGATGAAAAAGTTAAATCCAATAAATTATGAATTACTTAATTGAATTTCTAATTATATTCCAGGACGACCTTCGTCTCTTCTCCCATGTCATTTATTAATTAACTATCTTAAAGACACCAGGCGTAGTAAGAAGCATCTTTAAAGCAAGATATCATCTCCTTAAGGCCCAGAGCATCATAATAGCCTAAATAATTTACTATTTTTCATACTAAAATATAAAAACATCTCGAATATTATGAGTTCTGAGCACCTTCGTTCAGAGGAGGAAAGATCTCACAAAAATTACGAGAGATTTGCCTCTTGAAAATTTTTTGTGCGAACGCTGCGTTTTTTTTATATAAATATTTTATAATATGCGCAATCTTGCCTTCAGTGCTAGGAAAATGTGTTTGCTCTCTGCTCTTTGTGCAACGAGAGACTCCTTCGTTTGTGGGGTGGGGGTGGTACAGCAGCACCAACGGTACAGCGGTAACTGTATCGCAAAGCAACTGTCTCTTTACTACAGCACGTTTGGTACCATCACCTCATGTAGCGCGGCGGTCACGATGTAGTATGTTGTGATCTATTCAATTTAGGTACCACCTGCCCGGCACTGCCAGCCCAAAACCGTCAACCAAACGCCACCAACCCAACACTCACCGCATCCAGTGATTGTAACTGTAAATTAAACTCGCACAATCTAGTCTACCTTGATGACGAGGGGGCTCCACATTCTCGGGAACAAATTTCAGGGGAATTAATATCCTTATAGATAAAAATACAAAAATGTGTCAAACCGCTACTATCAGTAATTGGCATATTTTTGGTATAAAAATTAAGAATTTCAAACTGCGAATAGGTGGAGAGAGCAAGAATTTGGGTCCAAAATGTGGCTCAGGTATCGAATTTGGGATGTTTGGGATATTTTGAAAACTGCAGGGGGGTTTGGGCAAAATGTGACCCACTGCCGCTTTCAGTAATTGGCATATTTTAGGTATAAAAATTCAGAATTTCAAACTGCGAATAGGTGCAGAGAGCAAGAATTTGGGTCCAAAATATGGCTCAGGTATCGAATTTGGGATGTTTGGGATATTTTGAAAACTGCAGGGGGGGTTGGGCAAAATGTGACCCACTGCCGATTTCAGTAATTGGCCTATTTTTGGTATAAAAAGTCGGAATTTCAAACTGCGAATAGGTGCAGAGAGCCAGAATTTGGGTCCAAAATATGGCTCAGGTATCGAATTTGGGATGTTAGGGATATTTTTAAAACTGCAGGGGGGTTTGGGCAAAATGTGACCCATTGCCGCTTTCAGTAATTGGCATATTTTTGGTATAAAAATTCAGAATTTCAAACTGCGAATAGGTGTAGAGAGCCAGAATTTGGGTCCAAAATATGGCTCAGGTATCGAATTTGGGATGTTAGGGATATTTTGAAAACTGCAGGAGGGTTTGGGCAAAATGTGACCCACTGCCGCTTTCAGTAATTGTTATATTTTTGGTATAAAAAGTCGAATTTCAAACTGGGAATAGGTGCAGAGAGCCAGAATTTGGGTCCCTATAACCCTGTACCCCCCACATATACCCTATACCCCCCCCCATATACCCTGTACCCCTTCAAATGTACCCTATAGCCCCATACATAAATAATATAACCCCCCACATGTATCCTGTACCCCCACATGTACCCTATAACCCCCACATGTTCCCCTGTACCCCCCACATTTACCCTATAACCCCCCACATGTACCCTATAACCCCCACATGTACCCTATAACTTCCCACATGTACCCTGTATCCTCCACATGTACACTAACCCCCCCCCCTACATGTACCTTATAACCTTCCACATGTACCCAGTACCCCCCACATGTACCCTGTACCCCCCACATGTACCCTGTACCCCCCACATGTACCCTGTACCCCCCACATGTACCCTATAACCTCCCACATGTACCCTATAACCTCCCACATGTACCCTATAACCCCCACATGTACCCAATAATCCCCACATGTGCAATATAACACCCCACATGAGCCTGTACACCCCACATGTACCCTGTACCCCCGCATATACCCAAAAAAACCCACATGTATCCTTTACCCTCCTACATGTACCCTATGTCCTCTACATGTATCCTGAACCCCATCACATGTACCCTATAACCTCCCACATGTACCCTGTACCACCCACTTGTACCCTATAACCTCCCACATGTACCTTATAACCTATCACATGTACCCAGTACCCCCAAACATGTACCATATAACCCCCACATGTATCCTGTACCCCCCCACATGTATCCTGAAGCCCCCACATGTATCCTATAACCCCCACATTTACCCTGTAACCTATCACATGTACCCTGTACCCTCCACATGTACACTATAACCCCAAAATGTACTCTATGAACCCCCACATATACCCTGTACCCCCTACATGTACCCTATAACCCCCACATGTACCCTGTACCTCCTACATGTACACTATAACCCCCAAATGTACCCTATGAACCCCCAATATACCCTATGAACCCCCAATATACCCTATAACCCCCCACATGTACCCTGTACCCCCAAATGTACCCTATAGCCCCATACATATGTAATATAACCCCCCACATGTACCTCTGTACCCCCCACATGTACCCTGTACCCTCCACATGTACAGCATAATCCCCCCACATGTACACAGTAACCCCCCACATGTACACAGTAACCCCCCACATATACTCTGCAGCCCCCCCCATGTACCCTATAACCCCCACATAATACCCTGTACCCCCACATGTACCCTATAACCCCCCACATGTAACTTATAACCCCCCACATATACAATATAACCCCCCCACATATACAATATAACCCCCCTACATATATCCTGTACCCCTATATGTACCATATAACCCCCACATGTACCCTGTACCCCCCTAAATGTACCCTATAACCCGCCCACATGTACCCTGTACCCCCACAGGTACTTTGTATCCCCCCACATGTACCCTGTACCCCCTTCACATGTTCCCAATAACCCCCCACATGAACCCTATAACCCCCACATGAACCCTATAACCCCACATGTGCCCTATAACCCCCCTAAATGTTCCCAATAACCCCCCCCCTCATGACCCTCTATCCCCCACATGTACCCTTTAGCCTTCCACATGTTCCGTATATCCCCCACATGTATCCTGTACCCCCTCCATGTACCCAATAACCCCCCATTTGTACCCCTGTACCCCCACATGTACCCTGTAACCCCTCACATGTACCCTGTACCCCCCATGTACCCTATACCCTCCTACATGTACCCTATACCCTCCCACATGTACCCTATACCCTCCTACATGTACCCTATACCCTCCCACATGTACCCTATAACCCCATACATGTACCCAGTACCCCCCACATGTACCTTGTACCAGTTAAATGTACCCTGTACCCCCCATGTACCCTATACCCTCCCACATGTACCCTGTACCAGTTAAATGTACCCTGTACCAGTTAAATGTACCCTGTACCAGTTAAATGTACCCTGTACCAGTTAAATGTACCCTGTACCAGTTAAATGGACCCTGTACCCCTCATGTACCCTATAACCTCCCACATGTACCCAGTACCCCCACATGTACCCTGTACCCCCCTACATATACCCTGTACCCCCCACATGTACCCAGTACCCCCAACATGTACCCTATAACCCCCCCACATGTACAATATAACCCCCACATGTACCCTGTTCTCCCCACATGTACCCTGTTCCCCCACATGTACCCTATAACCCCCACATGTACAATGTACCCCCCACATGTACAGTGTACCCCCCACATGTACAGTGTACCCCCAACATGTACAATGTACCCCCCACATGTACAGTGTACCCCCCACATGTACAGTGTACCACCCACATGTACAATGTACCTCCCACATGTACCTTATAACCCTCCACATGTACCCTGTACCCTCCACATGTACCCTATAACCCCGCACATGTACCCTGTACCCCCTGACATCCTATAACACATCCTTGAGACATACTCCAGGCGCTCGAGGAGTACCTTGGGGAGACGGAGACAGGAAGAGCGAGGAAGGTGACGGGAAGTCTTGTTCTGAGGACGAGAGGAGCGCCGAGGACCCGTCCGGCGTCACGTGGTGATCGTCGAGGACGCCACTTGTGCAGAATAATATTCTGAACAACGTCATCCTGGAGGTAAATAGTTATACAGCATAAATGTTCACATTTTGATATGATAAAATCACTTAATTTTTCATTAGTGAGCAATATTTTAAGGCAATTGAAAGCAAATATTAAATATCATCCAGTGTTGTGTTAGGAACTTTGGGTTCTTGGGTTTGTTAGTGTTATTGTATATATTGTATATTGTAGTTGTGGAGCGGCCGTTAACAGTTCTTGACTGACAGACGATTCACTGTCGATTCTATTGCAAATGTTGCTCTGTTGTACCTGTTGTTCTGTTGCAACATTTACAATAGAATGTTGTATTTGGTTTGTGAATTAGAATTTGAAATTAACAATTTCAAACATTCAAGCTGGGGATCATTATTGGTTCATTAGAGACTCGTTCGTATTTGTGGAAGTGAAGGAGTGGCTGTTGGCCATTGTTAATTGACACTTCAGACTCGCAAAACGTTAACCAATGGGGGTGAGTTTTAGGGTGAATGTCAGCCAATCAGCGGCCGGGTTTGGTGGGCTGCCGGGGTATAAAATGAAGAAGAGACAAAAAGCACGTCAGTGTGTTTTACCTCACTTTTGGTATACAGTTCCAGCTTCGTCTCTTGGTGAGCTGTATGGGTGGTGGTTCTCCTTCCCCCTTGTTGCGTCGCCCCCTCCCTCCCTCCCTCCCCCCTGCCCCCTTGTTGCGCCCCCCCCCCTTCTCCCCTGCCCCCTTGTTGCGTCGCCCCCTCCCTCCCTCCCCCCTGCCCCCTTGTTGCGCCCCCCCCTTCTCCCCTGCCCCTTGTTGCGCCCCCCTCCTCCCCTGCCCCCTTGTTGCGTCGCCCCCTCCCCCCCTACCCCCTTGTTGCGTCCCCCTCCCTTCCTCCTTGTCTTCTGCCCCTTGTTGCGCCCCCTCCTCCCTGGCCCCTAGTTCCCGCGTACTGGAACTAATAAAGTGTACTATAGTGTTTAAATACTTATTAAATATTAATATAACTACCAATATTTCAGACTTGCCTTGCAGACTCTTAAGGTTGGATGAAGTGCAGCTAATGCTGAGTGTGGCACTACAGCTGACCCAAACTGGCCTGTGACGCTCCTCTACCCCCACTTGTATCATGCCAGAGGCTAGCCCTTAATGTCTGGCCTTCAACCTTATAAACTCTGGTAAGTATTTATTACAAACTTGTGTACATTAACGTTGGGAAACCAATAATCAAACTGCTAATAGAAAACAAAGTGTAAAACATGGTATAACTACTTTAAATGAATCAGGCTAGAGATTTTATTCTAGTAATAGGGTAACTAGAGAAATTTTCTGAACCCGGATATGTAAATCTTAAGGATGTAAAATTTTTTTTCTTTTTAACAATATTCTAGCATTGTTAATGAACTCTAAAGCTTTAGTATGTCTGTCTGTCTTAAAGAGCCCATTCTTGTTTGTTCCTAATTTATACTGCGGTAGTGGGCCCCCATACAATAAGTGCACTCCTATAGTAATCATGTAAGCGATAGTGAAGGTTGCTAGTGTCTGACAAAGGCTTAATGAACTGAATTTACGTAACGATAACAATGTAATATTAAATACTTTAAACCTGACCTTCCTAATGTTAACTCTATCGTCCCCTCCCCAGGTCCGGCCAACTACAGCCTGACGACAGAAGACGAGGACACTCTCTACTGGACATCGACGACGACGGAACAAAACGATGCACTGCCCGTCAACACTTGGTCTTCCGATCCAAGAGCTCGCTTGCTGACACCACCTGCTGATTCTTGGCTCTTCTTTGAATGTTAGAATTAAATTTCTACTTCAAACAATGGCTTTTTATCCTACCGTAGTATAATTAAGCGTGATTCGTACTACTGGGCGCACTGTTCTCGCGGCCAGGTGTCTAACTAGGCTGCTAGATGATGCTATCCTGAACCCCCAACCCGGATCTGGTATAATTTGATGTTCATAGACCTCTAGAATATAATTCTAAACTGACTTAACCCCCCTCTCTCTCTCTCTCTCTCTCTCTCACACACCTTCCTAGTATCATGCATTTAGTAATGCCACTGAAGTTGTCATTATGGGTGGTAAACACTCTTGGTTAAGGGGGCGTATTACGCTCTTAAATGTTTAATGTCAACCAATAATTTTTTTTTTAATAGAACATTTGCAGCCCTTCTTATATATACAACTAGGTTTCAGTATCACATCCTATACAGAACAGGCGATGCATATATTTTTTAGCAACGAATTTTACACATTTTCGATAATTAACTAAAACCACAAGTTTCAAATGACATTTCTAGGACACTCATAATGTTAGTATATACAAAGATTTGGATAAAAAAGGATTACCCCAAAAAGGTTTAGTGTTACTAATAAAAGTAGTCAAAGTTCCCCCAAAATTATATGCCAATATTTCATGTTTGCAATGATTTATAAAAAAATGAACTAAGTAATAGTGTTTTATGATTATTGTAGAAATGTCGACTCTACATATAAAGTGTAAATTGAAAACAATGAAAGATGCAATTTTGTTACTTGAAAATATAAGATTAAACACACTGCCATCTGTGGTTGAAGTTGACTTCAACCAATTTCCTCCAAAATGTGCATCTTTACAGATATACACCATACAGAACGTTTGTCTAAGTTTCATCTAAATAAATTTTTATTTTTTACATAAAACTTTGCAAAAATTTAAAGTTGCTGCCACATTTTTGGTAAGGGAGTAGTTAGTGGATTGTCCCATCCTATATTGGCTTGCCAGCATTCTTGCATGACTAACTTACCCTATATTAACATCGGGCTTAACTCTCGGCAAGACTTAATAGTGTCTACTCCCTCGGTAGTACAACCCTACTATAGTGCTAACCTAGTCTTGCTTTCAAAAAAGGGGGCTATAACCCCCCCCCTCCTTAGCTCCACAAGTAGGGAAACTAACCAAAGTTACACTGGTCAGCAGAGAAACTGGAGGCTGACCTACAGAAGCTTAGCTTCTAGTTATACCGTAATTACATTAAACTGGTCTGGTTAAATACTTGTTTGTGGTTCTGGGAAGGTGTGAGTGGTTCACAAGACCTATTGTGGGTACCCAGATCACCCTCAGGATTGTGTACTTGCGGAAGTTAAGAGACGGGACCAAACAGCCGAAGCTCAACTGGTGTAAAGATTCTCGAGCCTATTGGGCTCCATATCTACATTTCAAACTGTGTATAGTCTGCCTCCTCAAGAGGGGGGAGTGCCGTCAGTGTCTGCTCCACTCGCCCTGACGGCTGAGTGGATAGCGCTCTGGATTCTTAATCCTAAAGTTCTGGATTTCGTCCCGGTGGAGACGGAAATAGGCATAATTTTTCACCCTGGTGTCTGTTCACCCAGCAGTAAATAGGTACCTGGGAGTTAAATGGGTGCTACAGGCCGTTTCTTTGTGTATAACGGTTTGGTGCCTTCTTTTGATAATTACTTACTTACTTTGTGTGTATAAATAAATAAAATATATAATATATATATATATATATATATATATATATATATATATATATATATATATGTCTGTCGTACCTAGTAGCCAGAACTCACTTTTTGGCCTACTATACGGCCATCTCAAATATCAAAAATTTCATCGTGTTTTCTCAACATATTATTAAGAAAAATTTGTTGAAAAACATGTAATAATAATAATAAAGTGCTGAATAAAAAATGGGTAATGAAAATTAAGTAATTTCTACAATATTCCTTCACTTAGAGAGTATTTTGAATAGTACTTATATGGGCATATGTATGGTACTTATAACAGCATATGTATGGTACTTATAACAGCATATGTATGGTACTTATAACAGCATATGTATGGTACTTATAACAGCATATGTATGGTACTTATAACAGCATATGAATGGTACTTATAACAGCATATGTATCGTGCTTATATTGGGTTAGGTGTGGTACTTATCATAGGAAATATATGGTACTTTTAATGCCATATGTGTGGTACTTATAATAGCAAATGTATGGTACCTATAATGGCATATGTATGGTACTTATAAAGTCATAAGTACAGTACATATAAAGACACGTATGATTCTTATAAAGACATGATACTTGCAATGGCATATGTATGGCACTTATAATGGCATATGTATGGTACTTATAATGACATCATATGGTACTTATAAAGACATGTATGAAACTTTTATTGGCATATGTATGGTACTTATAAAGGCATATGTATGGTACTTATAAAGACACATACATGATACTTACAAGGACATATCTATGGTACTTAGAAGAGCATATGTATGATACTTATATGGGCATATCAATGGTACTTACACGAGCCTATGTATAATACTTATATGGCCATTTTATGGTCATGTGTATGGTACATATATTGTTACGTGTATGGTACTTATATGGGCATGAGAATGGTACTTATATGGTCATATGTATAGTACTTAACTCAGCCCGTCCTCCTAAGGTTCCCAACGTCAAGAAAAGGTCAATTTAAGGTGTCCTCTCCTAACCTACCAGAGGACCCAAATCAGAAAACGGGACAGTATGTCACTTTGGCGACCAGCTTACATTTTCTGCCACACAGCCTTTTGCCAGGAGAGAATCGCAGCCCGGGCGAAATCGTCATTTTTCTCAAAACTCAAAATCAAAACTAGCCATAGAATCGCTTTGAAAATGGTACCATTGTGTTTACCACAGCAATTTATATTTCTTTCTGTAAAGGCTTTCTTTGCTAATTTTCAATATTAAGGCCTTTACACGCATATTTACCGAGATACAGCCATCTCAAATATCAAAAATTTCATCGTGTTTTCTCAACATATTATTAAGAAAAATGAGTTGAAAAACATGTAATAATAAAAATATCTAGCTCAATAAAAATGGGTAATAAAAATAAAGCAATTTCTATATTATTCCTTTGCTTAGAGATTATTTTGAATGGTACTTATATGGGCATATGTATGGTACTTAATTTGGCATATAGTACTTATAATGGCATATGTATGGTACTTATATGGCATATGTATGGTGTTTATAATGCATATGTGTGGTACTTATAATAGGAAATATATGGTACTTATAATCGGATCTTTCGCGACCAGCTAACATTTTCTGCCACACAGCCGTTTGCCAGGAAAGAATCGCAGCCCGGGCGAAATCGTCATTTTTCTCAAAACTCAAAATCAAAACTAGCCATAGAATCGCTTTGAAAATGGTACCATTGTGTTTACCACAGCAATTTACATTTCTTTCTGTAAAGGCTTTCTTTGCTAATTTTCAATATTAAGGCCTTTACACTCATATTTACCGAGATACGGCCATCTCAAATATCAGAAATTTCATCGTGTTTTCTCAACATATTATTAAGAAAAATTTGTTGAAAAACATGTAATAATAATAATAAAGTGCTGAATAAAAAATGGGTAATGAAAATTAAGTAATTTCTACAATATTCCTTCACTTAGAGAGTATTTTGAATAGCACTTATATGGGCATACGTATGGTACTTATATGGGCATATGTATGGTACTTATAACAGCATATGTATGGTACTTATAACAGCATATGTATGGTACTTATAACAGCATATGTATCGTGCTTATAATGGTTTAGGTGTGGTACTTATCATAGGAAATATATGGTACTTATAATGCCATATGTGTGGTACTTATAATAGCAAATGTATGGTACCTATAATGGAATATGTATGGTACTTATAAAGTCATAAGTACAGTACTTATAAAGACACGTATGATTCTTATAAAGACATGTATGATACTTGTAATGGCATATGTATGGCACTTATAATGGCATATGTATGGTACTTATAATGGCATATGTATGGCACTTATAATGGCATATGTACGGCACTTATAATGGCATATGTATGGTACTTATAATGGCATATGTATGGCACTTATAATGGCATATGTATGGTACTTATAATGACATCATATGGTACTTATAAAGACATATGAAGGTCCTTATACAGACATATGTATAGCACATATAAAGACATGAAAAATACTAATTTTATAAAGACATATATGATACTTTTATTGGCATATGTATGGTACTTATAAAGGCATATGTATGGTACTTATAAAGACACATACATGATACTTACAAGGACATATCTATGGTACTTAGAAGAGCATATGTATGATACTTATATGGGCATATCAATGGTACTTACACGAGCCTATGTATAATACTTATATGGCCATTTTATGGTCATGTGTATGGTACATATTTTGTTACGTGTATGGTACTTATATGGGCATGAGAATGGTACTTATATGGTCATATGTATAGTACTTAACTCAGCCCGTCCTCCTAAGGTTCCCAACGTCAAGAAAAGGTCAATTTAAGGTGTCCTCTCCTAACCTACCAGAGGACCCAAATCAGAAAACGGGACAGTATGTCACTTTGGCGACCAGCTTACATTTTCTGCCACACAGCCTTTTGCCAGGAGAGAATCGCAGCCCGGGCGAAATCGTCATTTTTCTCAAAACTCAAAATCAAAACTAGCCATAGAATCGCTTTGAAAATGGTACCATTGTGTTTACCACAGCAATTTATATTTCTTTCTGTAAAGGCTTTCTTTGCTAATTTTCAATATTAAGGCCTTTACACGCATATTTACCGAGATACAGCCATCTCAAATATCAAAAATTTCATCGTGTTTTCTCAACATATTATTAAGAAAAATGAGTTGAAAAACATGTAATAATAAAAATATCTAGCTCAATAAAAATGGGTAATAAAAATAAAGCAATTTCTATATTATTCCTTTGCTTAGAGATTATTTTGAATGGTACTTATATGGGCATAT